TGCACCCTACCATTCCTGGGTCGAGAATCGACGACGCCTCGGGACACGCCAACGCGGTACAGTGCACACAAGTCGGCCCCTGCCCAATGTTCCCCACAACCGGTCCACCTGCGCGGCCGCGCCGCCGCTCGGCACGCGGCGACGCGGGCGCGTCCGCTGGGCAGGCGGCGGCGGTGCCTCGCCGTGGGCGCCTTCGATAGTTCAACAAGAGTGCGCATCGCCTTCCCTCCCCACCCCTCCGTGCCCCGTCGATTGGTTTTGGTCGCGCCCCGGCGCCAGCGGCGTGCCGAGGCATTTGCCCTGTAGCAGGCGCGGTCATCCGAAGGCTGCGTAAAACTAGATCTCCCTATATATCTAATAATATTAGGAAGAAGAAAAAGAACATATAAAACTGTTAGCCAGTGTGGACCCCAAACAGTAGGTTCTTGCAGTCTATGCGGTGCAGTTTATGCGGTGCTATGTATGCGGTGCAGCCTAAGCGGTGCAATATATGCAGTGCAATGTATGCGGTGCAGTCAATGCGGTGCAATATATGCGATGCAATATATGCGGTGCAAGCGGTGCAATCTACCCAGTGGAATCTACGCGTTGCACTCTATGCGGTGCATTCTACGCGGTACAATCTATACGGTGCAATCTATGCGGTGCAATTCACTTTAACCGTCTTGAAGTTGTCCTCTCCACTGCTCGTGCAAACATCCCACCCTCCCACCCGCAACTTGGTCGCAAGACCTCTTAAGACAAGACCGTGACGGTAGGTACCACATAGCACTTGGCCACGACACCGACACCGACGACGACAGCGACAACGACGACGACGGCGCCGCCGACACCGACTACGACGACACCGACGACGTCTCCAACGACTTCGACGACGACAACGACGACTACGACGACGACGACGACGACACCGACGACGACGACGACGCCGACGACGACGACGATGACAACGCCGACGACGACGACGACGACGGCGGCGACGACGACGACGCCGACGTCGACGACGACGAAGACGACGACGACGCCGACGCCGACGACGACGACGAAGACGACGACGACGTCGCCAACGAAGACGACGACGAGGGAGGAGGGAGGACGACGACGGCGACAATGACGACAACGACGACAACGACGAGGGAGGAGGGAGGACGGCGACGACGCGAACGACGAAGAAGGAGGAAGGACGACGACGCCGACGACGACAACGACGACGGAGGAGGGAAGACGACGACAACGACGACGACGACGACGACGACGACGGCGACGAAATAGGAGGGACGACGACGAGACGCCGACGACGGACGACGACCACGAGGGAGGAGGAGAAAGGACGACCACGGCGACAACGACGACGGAAACGACCACGACGCCAAAGAGGACGACGACGACGAACACGAGGAAAGACAGAGGACGACGTAGG